TCCCTGCATCTCCTCATATGCAGAAAAGCATTTCTCAACTACAGATTGGCACTTGCTGAGAGCATTGCCAATGACTGAACAACAAGGGCATTTGCCATCTGCCTTTAGGGAGATAGAACCCCACGCTGCTATAGCTGTTGCTCTTCAACAGCCCGAGGGAGTGTAGCGAGATGCTCTGTGTTCCAGGGAATCTGGTGGGACAGGTCTTTAGATAGTTGGATGCTTTTAGGAACAGATTTTATTATCTCTGTCCTTGTATCTCCTCATATCTAAGAGGTGCTAAATCCCTTCATGGTGACGTCAGATCTTCATAACTAGCAGGAAACCTTTTGTAAAAGGAGTGCTTAATGGTATTGAATTCCCTCTTCACCAAAATCTTATATATTGATTTTCCCCCACTGTCTCTTTGGAGCACTCTTTCAGAGCGATCTCCCAGGCTGCAGGCCTCGTTTTTGCCCCAACTAAAACTTAATTTGCATCCTTTTAGTAGACAGGGTCACAAAAGAGTCGCACAAAGCTTAGTGACTGAACAACAACTTCCCGTTCAGATCAGGCATCTCCTCCAGTTCTTCTCTTGACAAAATGGCTCCTTTCCATCCGGTTGCGACATCCCCGCTCCCACCGGAATTCAGCAGCAGGCTCCGACAAGCCCCCTGCAGGCTCTCCTCACCACCCGTATATGACTCAGAACACGGGCATTTCAGGATCTCAAAGAGACACACGTAGGAATGGCTTTTGCCACCACAAGTTGCATCAAAGACCAGGGTCTCTTCAACAGCCTGAAGGAGACCAGGGTGACATGGAGAGCTTGGAATGGAAAAGCAAGTTTTGGGGAGTCAGAAGAGCCCGCCTGGGAAGCCCGGAGACACACCCAAGGCCTGGGTTTTAATTCACTATGCAGTCCATCCTGGCCCGAAGCTGGTGGGAGGAGGACACAGCTGTTGAGGCTGCAGGGGACGGAGGCTCTTTGGAGGTGAAAGGAACCAGGAAACCGCCCTCCTCCCCATCAGCCCCACCTGCTCTGCTTTCCCCCAGCCCCCACCTCCTGCCTTCTCACTGCCCCCGGGGCAAAGCACAGACTCCAGAGCCTCTGAGCCCACCCCGTCTGCTGCAGAGACCCTGGAGTCTGCAGTACAACAAGGTGTGGAAGCAGGATATTGGCCCCCTCGCAACCGCCCTGGTGGGCCCAGTGCTTAAGAATCCACCTTGCCTGCAGGGGACATGGGTTCAATCCCTGGTCTGGGAAAAAACATCCCTCCCACATGCCTCAGAGCAGATAAGCCTGTGCACTGACACGCAAGGTCCTGCATGCTGTAACGAAGATCCTGTGTGCCACAACTAAGACCCGATGCAGCCTAATTGATTAATTACTAAGAATAGAAAGCAGTAATACTAGCGCCTGAGGACATCCAGGTCGGAATCCCAGAAACTGTGAGTGTGGCAGAGGGAGTGGAGACAGTGGGTGGAATTAAAGTTGCTAATCAGCTGATCTCAAAAATCAAATGTAAAAATTCTGGATTATCTGGGTGAGCCCAAGACAAGAATATTTAAAAGTGGGAGATAAAGGCAGAAGAGGTCTGGGAATGAAGGAGAGGCTCGGGTGATGCAATGCAAGGATTCAAACCCTCGTCTCTGCTCTGAGGGTAGAAGAAGCAATAAGTTGAGGGATGCTGACAGCCTTTGGAGCTGGAAAGTCAAGGAGACAGATTGTTCCCTAGAGCTTCAGGAAAGCAGTACAGCCTTGCCGATGCCATGAACTTAATCCAAGTGAGACCTGTGTCAGAATGCGGACATCAGAACCTAGGATAATAGATGTGTCTGTGTTTGACGTCAGTGTTTGGTGGTTGTAAGAAACAAACCTCCCGGGCCTTCCCTGAAGGTACAGCAGCTAACCTTCCAATTACAGGGCATGTGGGTTCAATTCCTGGTCCAGGAGTTAAGACCCCACATGCCTTGTGGCCAAAAACCCAAAACATAAAACAGGAGCAAATTTGTAACAAATTCAATAAAGAATTTTGTTGGGAAAGAAACTACAAAGAGCTTATGAGATTTATGTAATAGACTAACATCTCATCATTCTGATACAAGTTTATTCTGACTAGTGGATGATTCAAAGTAACTGCTAGTTCCCTTAAGTGCCTCATAATTCTTTAAGAAAAATAGCTAAACACTTAAAAAAAATTCAGTAGAGTTTAGAAAATGAGCCATAAAAAAAATCTCAAGAAAGAAAAAAAGAAACAAACCCACGAGGGTCCTGACAAGCTTGTGCAGTGTCCAGGCCAGCTTGGCGATGGGAATCTATGTCTCCAGCCCAGGCATGGGCAGGACTGGGGAAAGAGGCCTCTGGTTTTGAAGAGACACTGCTCCAGGGTTGCTGAATGGACATAGACCTGTCCCAGGAGTACTTGCATCATATAAAGGCCGTGTCCCCACCGGTTCAGTTCAGTCACTCAGTCCTGTCCGACTCTTTGTGACCCCATGGACTGCAGCACGCCAGGCTTCCCTGTCCATCACCAACTCCCGGAACTTACACAAACTCATGTCCGTTGTGTTGGTGATATCATCCAACCATCTCATCCTCTGTCATCCCCTTCTCCTCCTGCCTTCCATCTTTCCCAGCATCGGGGTCTTTTCCAATGAGTCTCGGTTCTCTGCATCAGGTAGCCAAAGTATTGTAGCTTCAGGTTCAGCATCAGTCCTTCCAATGAATATTCAGGATTGATTTCCTTTAGGATAGACTGGTTTGATCTCCTTGCAGTCAAAGGGACTCTCAAGAGTCTTCTCCAACACCACAGTTCAAGAGTATCAATTCTTCGGTGCTTGACTTTCTTTATATAGTCCAACTCTCACATGCATACATGACTACTGGAAAAGCCATAGGTTTGACTAGACGGACCTTTGTTGGCAAAGTAATCTCTCTGCTTTTTAATATGCTGTCTAGGTTGGTCATAGCTTTTCTTCCAAGGAGCAAGCGTCTTTTAATTTCATGGCTGCAGTCATCATTTGCAGTGATTTTGGAGTCTCAAAAAATAAGGTCTGTCACTGTTTCCATTATTTCCCCATCTATTTGCCATGAAGTGATGGGACCAGATGCCATGATCTTAGTTTTCTGAATGCTGAGTTTCAAGTCAACTTTTTCACTCTTCTTTTTTACCTTCATCAACAGGTTCTTTAGTTCATCTTCACTTTCTGCCATAAGGATGGTGTCATCTGCCTGTCATCTCCCGGCAATCTTGATTCCAGCTTGTGCTTTATCCAGCCTGGCATTTCACAAGATGTACCCTGAATATAAGTTAAATAAGCAGGGTGACAATATAAAGACTTGACATACATATTCCTTTCCCAGTTTGGAATCAGGATGCTGTTCCATGTTTGGTTCTAACTGTTGCTTCTTGACCTGCATGCAGATTTCTCAGGAGGCAGGTCAGGTGGTCTGGTAGTCTGATTTTTAAGAATTTTCCACAGTTTGTTGTGATCCACACAGCCAAAGGTTTTGGCATAGTCAATAAAGCAGAAATAGATGTTTTTCTGGAAATCTCTTGCTTTTTTGATGATCCAGTGGATGTTGGCAATATGATCTCTAGCTCCTCTGCCTTTTCTAAATCCAGCTTGAACATCTGGAAGTTCACGGTTCATGTACTGTTGAAGCCTGGCTTGGAGAATTTTGAGCATTACTGTTGCAGGAAGGGGGACCCCTTCCAGGGCCCGAAACTGGGCTCTTGTCTAACACTCGGAAATGAATTGTCCGAGGAGACACATGCTGACAAAGCAAGAGATTTTATTGGGAAAGGGCACCCGGGTGGAGAGCAGGAGGGTAAGGGAACCCAGGAGAACTGCTCTGCCGCATGGCTCGCAGTCTTGGGTTTTATGGTGATGGGATTAGTTTCCGGGTGGTCTTTGGCCAATCATTCTAATTCAGTCTTTCCTGGTGGTGCATGCATCACTCAGCCAAGATGGATGCTAGCAAGAGGGATTCTGGGAAGTGGACGGACAGGCAGTGTCTCCTCTCGACCTTTCCCGAACTCTTCCGGCTGGTGGTGGCTTACTAGTTCCGTATTCCTTATCAGGATCTCCTGTCATAAAACAACTCATGCAAATGGTTACTATGGTGCCTGGCCAGGGTGGGCAGTTTCATTCAGTGTGCTTCCCCTAACATTACTTTGCTAGCGTGTGAGATGAGTGCAATTGTGTGGTAGTCTGAGCATTCTTTGGCATTGCCTTTCTTTGGGATTGGAATGAAAACTGACCTTTTCCAGTCCTGTGGCCACTGCTGAGTTTTCCAAATTTGCTGACATACTGAGGGCAGCACTTTAACAGCATCATCTTTTAGGATTAGAAATAAATAGCTCAACTGGAATTCCATCACCTCCACTAGCTTTGTTCGTAGTGATGTTTCCTAAGGTCCATTTGACTTCACATTCCAGGATGTCTGGCTCTAGGTGAGTGATCACACCATCGTGGTTATTTGGGTCATGAACATCTTTTTTGTGTAGTTCTTCTGTGTATTCTTGCCACCTCTTCTTAATATCTTCTGCTTCTGTTAGGTACATACCATTTCTGTCCTTTGCTGTGCCCATCTTTACATGAAATGTTCCCTTGGTATCTCTAACTTTCTTGATGAGATCTCTAGTCTTTCCCATTCTATTATTTCCCTCTATTTCTGTGCATTGATAGCTGAGGAAGGCTTTCTTATCTCTCCTTGCTATTCTTTGGAACTCTGCATTCAAATGGGTGTATCTTTCCTTTTCTCCTTTGCCCTTCACTTCTTTTTTTTTTTTTTTTTTTAGATTTTAATGGTTTTAAAAAAAACCAAATTTGTTACTTTAGAAAAATAAATGCAGTGCATTTTCAGCAATAGGATCGCCACAGACTCTGATTGCTCAGTCCACACATAAGTAGTAGCCGCCTTCTATGGTGATATGGCTTCTCTGCACTAATTCCCATCAGGCCGAAAAACATTAGGGCAGGTTAAAAGACTGAATTGTTGCACAAAGGAACATTTACTCATCAGATCCCACTGATCTCTTCTGTGCCCGTTTCCTGGGCAACCTTCTTGGTGAAGCTTTATCTCTTCTACTCTGCATGATCTGATTCAGAGTTTCCTGAGGAATCCAGCTCATGTCGACATCGTTTTGACTCGATGTTCCCATCTCTACCTTCTGAATGGGCCTCTTGCGCTTTCTAGATTCCAGGAGCTGATGAAGGCCAACGACAACCAACAGCCCAAGACCAGCAAGGAACATGTACATAAATATGGTTTCTCCGTCTAACCCATCTTCTCTCTCGATGATTGTAACTGTTTGATTGAAGACAGCATCTTGGAAAACATTGCCGTTCAAATCCTTGTAGTTCAGGTTGATGACCAGACCGAAGGGCCGGCCCCCCATGGGCTCTGCGGGGATGAAGGAGTACTCAAAGGTTGCCTGTCTCTGGGGTGGCACGACCGTGTTCAGGGGAAGAGCAGTGAAGTTCTGGATATAAAATTGGTAGTCCTGAGGGTACCGGAATGAGGCATCGAGAGACTCGACGATAAAATCTTCTGTACCCTTGTTTGTAAAGCCTACCAGGAACTTCACAATGTTATTTGCTGGAAAATCTTCTCCTTTCACAAACAGGATGGTTGTATCTGCACTGGGTGAAGCTTCAGGTTCACCTGATACATCTTCTTCCTCTTTATCTTCAGCCAAATCTGTCGGTTCATCTTCTTCCACTTCTGCTTCATCGTCTTCATCTTCAATTATAGAATCTTCCACTGTTTCTTCATCCTCTGTAAGATCCTGAGCCACTGCCAAAGAGCCTCCCGGGCCGCCTCGGAGCAGAAGGGTGGCGGGGAACACCAGCAGGAGAAGCAGCAGCAGGCGGCGGAGGGACCTCATGGCGCGGTCGCTCCGGCGTCCAGACCCCGACCGAGAGAGCTCTCGGCGGCTCCGACGCGAATGGCGTTACTCTTCATCCGAGCTCCGGAGGAGGGACGGGGCACGCACCACGCACGGCCTTCGCCACGCCCCTTCCCGACGTGGCTGCTCGGTCCGAGCGGTGGGGGAGCGCGGGCCTGCCCTTCACTTCTTTTCTCAGCTATTTTTAAGGCCTCCTCAGACAGCCATTTTGCCTTTTTGCATTTCTTTTTCTTGGGGATGGTCTTGATCACCACCTCCTATACAATGTCAAGAAGCTCCATCCAAAGTTCTTCAGGCACTCTGTCTATCAGATCTAATCCCTTGAATTTATTTCTCACTTCCATTGTATAATCGTAAGGGATTTGATTTAGGTCATACCTGAATCTGAATGGTCTGTGGTTTTCCCTACTTTCTTCAGTTTAAGTCTGAATTTAGCAATAATGTATTCATCATCTAAGCCAGAGTCAGCTCCCAGTCTTGTTTTTGCTGACTCTAGAGCTTCTCCATCTTTGGCTGCAAGGAATATAATCAATCTGATTTCAGTATTGACCATCCGGTGATGTCCATGTGTAGTCTCCTCTTGTGTTGTTGGAAGAGGGTATTTGCTATGACAGTGTGTTCTCTTGACAAAAGTCTGTTAGCCTTTGACCTGCTTCATTTGGTACTCCAGGGCCAAATTTGCCTGTTACTCCAGGTATCTCTTGACCTCCTACTTTTGCATTCCATTCCACTATAATGAAAAGGACATCTTTTTTGGGGTGTTAATTCTAGAAGGTCTTGTTCATAGAACCATTTAACTTCAGCTTCTTCAGCATTACTGGTTGTTAATGCTGGTAGATACTGATCATGGTATTGCCCTGAATTTTCAGAGATGCAGTGGTGGAGAAGCAACGGCCCCATTCTTGCAGAGATTCTAGGCAGGAGAAACAGATCCCTGGTTAGGGAAATAAGATCCCATGTGCCACAGGGCAACTAGGCCCTCTCACTGCATCTACTGAGCCTGTGGTCTCTGGAGCCCGTGTGCCCCAACCAGAGAGAAGCCCACAACGCAAGGAAAGACCCCTCATGACACAACGAATATCCCAGGCACTGCAAGCTAAGACTGGATGTAGCCAAAAAAAAAAAAAAAAAAGCATGTAGAAGACCAGAGACCATCAGGTTTGGGAAGGGAAGGATTGGTTATCTGTTGTTGGTTTAAGATGATCCCTGCATTTAGTGGCTTAAAACCGCAAGCATTAATTATCTCACAGTTTCTGGGGTCAGAAGGCCAGAAGCAGCTTACCTGCATGCCTCTGGCTCAGATCTCTCTGAAGGCTGGAATCACAGTGTCATCTGAGGCTTCCCTCTCTCCTGGGGGATGGCCTGTGAGATCCATTTCTAAGCTCCCCCAAGTGTTTGCTGGCAGGATTCGGTTTCCCATGGGCCACGGGACTGAGGGTCTTGGTTCTTCCCTTCCTGCTGACTGGACGCCTCCCCCAGCTCCTTGTCTCGGGGGCTTGCCACAGAGCAGCTCACAACATGGCAACCAGTTTCCCTCAGAGTATAAAGTGAGAGACCGAGAGAACGAGAGAAGCCACAGGGGTTTTGTACTCTGATCTTGGACAGGACATCCACCACTTTTTCTATATTCTGCTCATTGGAATCAAGCTCCCAGTTTCAGCTCACACTCAGAGGGAGGACTCTGTGAGGAAATGAATATTAGAGATGAGAATTCTGGGGGGTCATCTGAGACGTTGCCTATCACAGCCATCTAGTCACTTCTGCTGGGATATTTCTTCAGGATGGAGCTGAGATGGGGTGACTGCCCCCTCGCTGGGGGCAGTCATCTTGGTAAGGGGCAGGGCAGACCAGAGTCACAGAGAGGTGTCTCCAGGGGGCTGAACACTTGGGTGGATGGTGGTTCCTCTGCCGAGACACTCCTTGCCCTGATACCCACCAAGGCTTCTGATATCTTCCACCTTCATTGTACAGAGAAGGGGGCTGACTTGTCCAAGCTGGTTGGTGGCAGAGCCAGGGAGAGCCTAGAGCTTAGGACCCTTGACCCATGTCCAGCCGGGACCTGCAGAGCAGTTCACGCCTAAGTGTCCTATGTTGTGGTCAGGAGATAACACAGGCACGTGGAGCATCCCAGTCCCCGTCCCCTGAAACCTCTGACACGGGCACATTCTGGTCTCTCAATCCCACTTCCTGTCTTCACGTTATGGGGACTGGCTCACAGACATGGGGACAGTCTTAGACATGAAGGTAGCCTTGGACTGCTCCCACTCCCTAAAAGTTGTGGAGCTGCACCAGCGAAGGTTCCCAGCCCTTTCCTCCCCTCCTGTCCCCACCCACAGCTCCAAACCAACCACTGCAGGGGCATCGCCTGCCTGCACAAGCATCCCCAGTTGTTCTAAACCGTGCTCACACCTGCTCGCTACATAGCCATCACAGTCCTAGGCCTGTGCATGCTGCCTAGTGTGGGCTAGTGTGGTCTGCCCTCAGGAGGCAGGCCCCAGGACCTCTGGATAGAGAATGCCAGGTACCAAGGATGTGGTTCCAAGAAGAGGACGATGCAAGCTCTGAGAAAGCATGTCCCCTTGGCCCTGGAAACTCCTCACCCCACAAACAGGATACGGTCAGAGGGGGACCAGAGCACAGGGGGGACTCTGCCCCCATCCTAAGAGCAAGAAAGAGACACAGTCTCACCTTCCTGAAGCTCATTTATGGCAATCCTTCCCCTCACCCCTTACCTCACCACTCTGTGCCTTTCTACCACCACGCTTTCCAAATTCCAAATTGCGTCCCCATTTTCACCTTGCACAGCATCCCCAGCCAGCCCTGCAGCCTGCCTGCTGCAAGCTCTGCCAGCCAGAGCTACGGTTCCTCAATTTCCTGCATTTGCAGAAGTGAGCAAAAGGGTCACCGCATACTCAGGTGACACTGGACGGCTGAAAATGCTGACCAAAGCGCAAGTTCTAGAACAAGTCCCACATTCAACTTTGCTTCTGTGTCACTGTCAACGGCGATGCCCAGTTGGAAAGAATTCTGTCTAAAACATTTTTTTTTTAATTGCTGCTACCAAAAAAAAAACCTGCCAAATAAGAAAGGACCAAAAAAAAAAAAAGTTTAAATATATATATATACATGTATATACATTTTTTGTGTAATTCTGCATATAGCCCATGGGGTTTTTTGTTTGTTTTTTGCAAATGTTAAACAGACAAAAATATATGTCACATTTTTGTTTTTTAAAAATATTTATTTAAACAGAAAAAGAGACACAGATGTACAGAACAGACTTTGGGACTCTGTAGGAGAAGGCAAGGGTGGGATGTTCTGAGAGAATAGCATTGAAACAAGTATACTATCAAGGGTGAAACAGATCACCAGCCCTGGTTGGATGCATGAGACAAGTGCTCAGGGCTGGTACACTGGGAAGACCCAGAGGGATGGGATGAGGAGGGAGGCGGAAGGGGGGATTGGGATGGGGAACACATGTGAATCCATGACTGATTCATGTCAATGTATGGCAAAAACCACTACAATATTGTAAAGTAATTAGCCTCCAACTAATAAAAATAAATGAAAAATAAATAAATAAATAAATAAAAATATTTATTTATTTATTTTTGACTGTGCTGGGTCTTCTCTGCTGCTCGGGGGCTTTCTCTAGCTGCAGAGACTGGGAGCTACTCTCTAGCTGGGTGTGCGGGCTTCTCACTGCAGTGGCTTCCCTTGCTGGGGAGGGCCCTAGGGCACTTGGACTTCAGTATCTGGGTATGTGGGCTCGTAGCTGTGGCTCCCAGGCTCTCGGGCATAGGCTCGGTAATTGTGGCACACAGGCTTAGTTGCTCTGAGGGGTGTGGGATCTTCCTGGACCAGGGATTGAGCTTGTGTCACCTGCATTGCAAGACAGTCTCAACCACTGGATCACCAGGGATGCCCAATACATGTCACATCGTGACGTCACAAAGCATTGCAATAAAGCAAATGTCTGTCCTTCAACCACGTGCATTAGACGCTAGAAGTTGCTGATACTGTCATGGCCAGCTGTGTGACTCCCTACTCCAGCCCAGGGTTTCCTCCCCACCCGCTGTAACCACTACTTAAAGCCATGTCTCTGATGCCTTTACTTTTCTTTTTTTTTTCCATTTATTTTTATTAGTTGGAGGCTAATTACTTTACAACATTGCAGTGGTTTTTGTCATACATTGAAATGAATTAGCCATGGATTTACATGTATTCCCCATCCCGGTCCCCCCTCCCACCTCCCTCTCCACCCGATCCCTCTGGGTCTTCCCAGTGCACCAGGCCCGAACACTTGTCTCATGCATCCAACCTGGGCTGGTGATCTGTTTCACCCTAGATAATATACATGTTTCGATGCTGTTCTCTTGAAACATACCACCCTCGCCTTCTCCCACAGAGTCCACAAGTCTGTTCTATACATCTGAGTCTCTTTTTCTGTTTTGCATATAGGGTTATCGTTACCATCTTTCTAAATTCCATATATATGTGTTAGTATACTGTATTGGTGTTTATCTTTCTGGCTTACTTCACTCTGTATAATGGGATCCAGTTTCATCCATCTCATTAGAACTGATTCAAATTAATTCTTTTTAATGGCTGAGTAATATTCCATGGTGTATATGTACCACAGCTTCCTCATCCATTCGTCTGCTGACGGGCATCTAGATTGCTTCCATGTCCTGGCTATTATAAACAGTGCTGCGATGAACATTGGGGTGCACGTGTCTCTTTCAGATCTGGTTTCCTCGGTGTGTATGCCCAGAAGTCGGATTGCTGGGTCATATGGCAGTTCTTTTTCCAGCTTTTTAAGAAATCTCCACACTGTTTTCCATAGCGGCTGTACTAATTTGCATTCCCACCAACAGTGTAAGAGGGTTCCCTTTTCTCCACACCCTCTCCAGCATTTATTGCTTGTAGACTTTTGGATAGCAGCCATCCTGACTGGTGTGTAATGGAACCTCATTGTG